CACACACACACACACACACACACACACACACACACACACACACACACTAGGGCCTGAAGAGATGGCTTTACCATAAGCAGGTAAGGCTCCTGAGTCACAATACAGCTTCTTTTTTGTCCCCAAAATGTCATTCGACAACACAGACCATGAAGTCTCCCTGGCTGCAGACAGCTTCCTTCTCACTAAGAACTTGTGCTCTCTAAAGATCACACCTGTCATGGGCTTGGCCCATATTTGTGACATGATTTGATATGTTCCCACAATCCCAATCAACCCCACGATTGTCCCCAGAGCTAACCAGGGTGGGCACAGTCGGGCTTTGTCCAGAGCAATGGAAGCTGGGATTCTGAGCTGTGTACAAGCCTCAAACCTCTTGACCTAAAAGCTGAAGCAGCCATTGTAAGCACCATCTAAGGCATGTGTGGGAGACAGCGGCAAAGTCTGGACTAGAAGAGAAGGGAAGAAGAACACAAACAGAGAGAAAAAGAAAGGCCTTAAAACTCAAGAGAGCTAGTGTCAGCTGGAAATGAAGGCTCCGTGTTCACGAAGGCCCAGTCCTCTGAGACTTCCAACTGCATTTCCTGTGCTTGTGTCCTGAGAGGTATGCCGCATCGGGTATCCAGCCTAGGTACCGCATCCCATTTTTGCTTACACTCACTTCCAACCAGCAGACGTTCCATTAAGTAGCAGGCAAGGGGAGCAGGCTCACCGCCCTGCAACCCTTTCTCTTCTTCCTTAACCCCCCGACGCGTCATCAGTCCTCTGTATGTCTCCAGGAAAAGACTGACCCGTGTGCTCACAATAAACCTTTTTACCACCATTGTCCACAGATGCTCTGGTCAGGGTCCTGACAACCAGCCCAGCGGTGCTTTCCTGAAAACACTGGAAAAGCTAACCAGCCTCAAATGCACTCAAGCGACCCACTTCAGTACTGTGTGTGTGTGTGTGTGTGTGTGTTATAGCTTGAGACATAGTTAGCTAGGCACTAGACTATCATACAATTCACACATATTTGTGAGTGTGAGCTGGCTCACAGGAGTCCTGCATAGAAACCTAGAGACACACATGTACATTTGGGGCACTGACTAGGAAAGCCTAATGGCTAAGAACACAGACTCATGTCAGGCAAATCTGAATTAGAATTTCAAGCCTCACCTGGAGCCTTTAAAAAGAGGAGGAAGACTGGAAATTCTGAGAATTTTACATGCATTGTCATAAAGTTCTCTCCCCCAAGGCCTTTGCGTTATTATTATTTTACACTTGATAAGACCCGAGTGGCTTATCTAAGGCCACTAGGCTTAGTAAAGCCAATCCTGCCTCAATCTCTTTCTAAAGCTGCGTCTTGCCCCTGACTGTGAGAGACTTTGGGTCTAATTATTTAAGCGCTCAATTCGTTTAGGACCGAGGCTCAGAAGAGTAAGTAAAAGTAGTCCTTTAGTGCAGCGCTGAGCGGAGTGCCAGGCGGTGCAGACAGCTCAATAAAAGGTATTTATTACTGTTGAGTTCCCAGCTCTGAGCCCACAGTGAAGGCTTCAGGCAAAGGGACATTCGGTTCTATAAATTACACGTTCCCTGGAAAACAGCCATTTGCAGGCTCTAGGCAGCCAAAGAAAAAGGAGCAAATTATACGCAGTATTTATCTTGGATGGTCTAGATTTGCAGAAGGGAGTAACAGATAACATAGCTAGCTGGGACGCAATGACCTCACTTGAGGTTAGGGGGCGCCATACTCCTCAGGACACCAGGGACCTGCTGTCCCCAGAGGGGCTCCAAACCCCATTTGCCACAACAAAGGCAAGGCAGACAAATTCTAACTAATAGCAATATTATTTTTTTCAGACAGTGAAAAGGACTACCTAAAAGTTCTCCCGCAGTTTCAATTTTAGGTCCAGTAAATACTCCTGTTTATTTCGATACCTCAGCAATTCCACTCACATTATTCAATGACCTTTACAAGTCTAGTTAAAAAAAAAAAAATGAGGATGTATGCTTCCATAAGCACAATGCACAGAAATTTAAAGTATATTTTAAAAAAGAAAACAGTCTAAACTAAATGGACAAACTGGCAGTTGCTAAAACTGCCTGGTTCAGGGAGTTCATATTAGCCTGTCTATGTGTCTGTATGTTTGAAATTCCCTCAATTAAAAGTTACAAATAAGTTTAAAGTCCATACAAATTCTCTCTATGAAGAAAAAAATTTTCCCCTGGAACCATAAGCAGGAAATTAGGTCTGTCTATATCAGTACTGTGGGAGGCAGTACAAAACAGAGAGCATCGAGGGAGGAAAGGCACGTAAGGAAGAAAACAGGCTGAGGGAAAGGAAACAGTGCAGCTCCTATAGACAGGACGTGCCTGTACAATGTTTCACCAGAGCTCAGAACAAGGGCTCAGACCGCAGAAGTCTACAGACGTGAAGCAAAGTCTTATGCGTGTGTACGTATATGTTTAAACTACACTAATTGTTGAACTTGGTTTTGGGGTTCTGTTTTCTTTTGCTATTCTGGTTCTAATTAACCAAGGAATAGTACATTCTAGAGGTGGGCTTTCTAAAGGGTATGAATGAAAGCTTTATGCCAGGAACAGCCAAGAAAGCGGGATTCTGGTAAGGAAAGATGCCTCTTGGCTGGATCAGGTAGTTTCTCTTTCCAGTGCACAGTGGCCTTTGCACACAGTTAACTAGAAGTTACTTGGTCCACCCAGAAGAGAAGCGGGGATTGAAGAACCTAGAAGATGCTCTCCTCACCAGGCACGACTACGGACTTCCTTCTATTCCCTCCTGCCACCCATTAAGTCAACGCTAAATAAAAATATAAACTTTACATTACAATAGTGACATGACTTATCATTGGTTCTACTCTCCCTCAGAGGGAGGGGGCACACGACACATTATTCCTAAACTGCTGATGGAACGTTCTTAAACAGCTAAGCGTGGAAGAAACTAATAAAGCTGATAAGGAGCCGTTTGTCCTTCAGGTTAAAGCGACAAGTGACTCCCAGTACTGAGGCTAAGCCCAAAGTTATCAGCAAGGTTATTTAGTGCAAAACAACACTGATGAAAACAAAGATGACCTTCCAGTCTGCCGCCAAACTGACTGATAAACAAACAAACAAACAAAAACCACTATTATCATTCCTCAACAGAGTTCAGGCAACTCTGCACTACTCCCAAATCAAACTAACATTTAGAAAGCAGCACTTTCCTAAGATTTGCTTAGGGTCCATTCATGAAATTGCCTGTCAAACAGCTGTTCACGCCCTCCCCCCCCTCCCCCCCCCCCCCCCCCCCCCCCCCTCCCCCCCCCCCCCCCACCCCCCCCCCCCCCCCCCCCCCCGTCGACAGCAGCCTCCAGCTCCCCACCCCACTCATGCAGCCCAGCCCTTCACTTGCACACAGTTCCAGCTGGCCCCTTGCTTTTCATAAGCCCGCTGTTCCTAGCTCTGGGGACGAACAAGACTACAGCAGTTTATCCCAAGACCAAGCCCCCACCGAGGGGACATTACGTTCACTACAGAAGGGTGGCACACGGGTGAACGCGCATGGTCTCAGCTGCTAGCGTGCTCTGCCTCGCTGGACTTGAGAAGTCTGCAGGACTCTGAGAGTCCCTTGACCGGCAGCAGCATCAGGGCAAATCACTATGAACCGCTCCTGGAAAGAGGGTTTGACTACCCTTAAAGGAAGAAGAGGCCAAGCAGAAAGACGAACCCAAAATAACGTGCATGCACCTTCTCGGCTCCTCCACCCGCCATTGGCCTCCCTGCCAATCTATCTACCTGTCAACGTTTCCAAGATAAATCCTGGCCACTCACTGCACCACTTCCGGCTATGGGAACAAAAACAAGGGTTCTTTCTACCCAGAGGGACCTCACCACTCTCTCCACGGGCCTTATCGTGTTGCCTGAGTGGACTTTGCCATGAGTTTATAGGAAAAGAAAGGCGATGGGGTTGGGCTCAGCACCAAGATCCTCAGTTGGGCTTATGGGTCAAAGGCTGCGAAGTGGAGTCTTAACCTTTTTGTATCAATCTCTTCCTTTCCCCCACCCTACCAACCTCCACAAGCCAGCGAACACATGGCAAAAACGACGCTTGCCTCTAGGAGAGTTAGTGCCTCTGGCTACAGCGAAGGGCAGTACCGGGTGGCTTTAAAGCAGGCACTTGGGATCATAAACTTGTGTGTCGTAGTGTTTCGAATATCCTCTCCCTCCCACCAGCCAGTTGTCCTTGCGGTCGTCACCAAAACTACAGCAGTTCTTCCAGAGTCAGCCGAAGCTCATCCTGACACACCTGAGCCCCTCAGAGTGGACTCTTGCTTAAGGAGTTGGGCTGGGAGGTAGAAGGGACTCAAGGGGCAGATAAGGCAAGCTGAATTCTTGGGTAAAACCCCAAAGTTGGCTGCAGCCCAGCGAAGGCTTCCCGTCGCCGGCAGCGGCAGCTGCGGCTGGGCACCCGCACGCATCCTACCTTGGACCTCTCCTTGACATAGTATTTGCCCAGCCGGCTCCCGCAGTACAGGACCAGCCGGTCGATGAGGGACAGGAGGAAGTTGATGGCCTCGCAGCCCTCTTCATTGCCCCCGATCCACGTGATCTGGTCGCCCCGCAGGTGCCTCTTGGAGACGCCGGCGCGCGGCCCCGCCAGCTGGCCGTCACGCAGGGCCCCGTTGTAATGCAGCTGCTTGACCCGTTCCAGCACGCAGTCGCCCACCACCTCGCCCAGGAAGTTGTCCAGGTAGCAGAAGCCGACCTCGTGCAGGCAGGGCACGATGTACTCCAGGGCGATCTTCTCCAGATCCAGCCTCATGATGTGTCCCAGAGGCATATCGACTGCAGAGCCGAGGCCGGGGCCCCCCAAGGATGCGCGCGCCGAGGGCTTGACCCGAGCGAGCGCACGGCGATGATGCGGAGAGCCTGGCCCCGGGCTCACCCACCTGCGGCGGCCGCGGTCCCCGAGCCACTTTAGCGCCAGGGGCGGGGAAAGTTGCTCGCAACTTTGGGGAGAAGGGAGCCCCGCTCCGAGACCAGCGGGAGCGCTGTGGGGCTCTGCCACCCAGCGCCGGACTGGCCCAGTGAGAAGTCGGAGGGCCCCTTTTGGAGATGCGAGCCACCGCCGCGGCGGCCCCAGCCAGGGGCGGAACCAGAGGAGGCCCCGCCTTGACCCCCAACGTCACGATCCCGCCCCCGAGGCGGCCCTCCTCCGAGCCCTTCCTTCTTGCTCTAGTGCTGCAAAGCATCCGGGCCGGCTAGCTCCACGTTAACCTGCGTGTGACCCAAGAAAGAGCTAGGTTGTTGTTTTTTTTATGCTCTCGATTTGAATAATTGTTTTGCATACCCCCCCCCCCAACAAACTTGAAAACCCGGATCCCACTTCTGAGATGCAAATAAACCTAGCCGCACAGTTTGCTTCCACTTTCCGGGCTAGTCCCTTCTCTGGTGACTGTATTTCTTAAACATGGATGTCGTCCTAGCTTTACCTGATGTCTTTCCTTCCTCCCTTTTCCTCTTCTGTTTAACCCGGGTCTGGCGGTTCCAACCCTTGAGAGAGTGAGATGAATCCAGTTTTAACCGAAACTGATACATTAACAGATCCCCGTGGGCCAGGCTGGTGTGCGCAACTGAAGGGAGCGGGGAGGCATTGTGGGAAGGGAAACCCTGACAGTGTTTGTGTTCTGGCCTACAGATGTTCCTGTCCCACTTACTGCTCAAGCTTTTACTAAAAAGTTCTGAAATTCTACCTCAGAATCACTCATGCTCCCCAAAAGATACACTGCATTCCAGGTCTGTCTTTTGCCAAGGCAACTGGACTTGAGAGGAAGTTTAGACTCTACCTAAAAGACTTAAATCTACTGGTAATCTGGTGGCTGTACATATTTCTGATGTCCTTTCCTTCCAAATACCAGCAGTTAGAGACAGAGAGAGAGAAAGACAGAGAGAAGCTAACATTCAAAGCCATTTTCATTTTCTGAATTTCACATCATTCCACACTTGGATTTTCATTTAAGTTGAATGAAAAACTGCACTGGTACGTTGGGCATCATTTATTTGGACATATGGACCCTACAGCCTTTTCACTTTTATTCTCTTTCCGATAGCCCTTCTCCTCTCCCCCTTTGAGGGGAGAAGTGGGGCACAGTTCATGCCCCGGTGAGGCAGAAGAGGAGAGAGTGCTCACGGGATGGGAAGAAGCTGATAAGAGCAAACAGCGCCTTGGGGAGTGGCAATCACTGTGGAGGGTGTAGGCAGCTTTGGTGAAACCTAGCTGGCTCTGGAGAACAGGGGCTCTGTTAAGTCAACTGGCTTCCTGCATGTGTCTGTCCAGGGGGAGGTCTCCGACCTTAGGGTAAAGGTTCAAATTGGCCTGAGCTCAAGATACCCACAGCAGCATCAGGGCCATAAGAGCCACTGTCCTTGGAGCGCTGATGCTCACACATGACAGATGGTTGGGAAAAAGTTTCCTGAGACCCTGACGTCTGAACCTGGGCCTTGTGACCTCCACCTGGGATTTTAGACAAGAAACCAGCAGGAAGGCCCTCTTTCGAGAAGGGCTGAGGAGCCTCCCAGGGTACTCACTGAGACAAGTGTCAAGCAGACTAGCCCAGTCCAGAACAAGACCCAAGCGACCACTGGAGGGGGACAGTGAGAACTGATGCAGGACAGTTGCCTCTCCAGCTGGCCCTGTCCCATCCCAGCAGTGGCAAGCAAAAACAAAGGCGGGAGGGTAATTTATCTTCGTTGGGAGTAGAATAGAAATGAGTTCCAAAGAGGAGGAAGGGCTATCTTCCCCCTGTTAGCTGAGCCCACCGTCCCTAGGGGCCACTCTGACACCTCCTGTAATTTGTAGTGACTTGGGCCTTTTGCAGCTTGGACACTGTAGTAGCCTTCAGAAGTAGTCAGCTCTGAAGAAAGGTCAGGTTAACAGATAATTCTTGGGAGCTGGCCAAAGTTCTTCTAGCCGATGGTTCCTTTTAGGTACAACCCACAGACCTGAGGATAATAGAAAGGGTCCTCGTGGAGGGTCTGGTTAAACACAGGAAGTTACATATTCACTTTCTAGGATGAACATGTTGGCCTAAGTCATTTAACTTAATATTCAGAAATTCCCACAATTTCAGAGCACGGCGGCTTCCAGTGTAGTCACAACGAAAACAATAGCTCACGCAAGTTCAAGCCTAGAGCTGTTCTAGCCGACTTCTGGTTCCAAACTGCGAGCTGCTTAGGGATGAAGTCAGCACTGCAGCAAGCCCCTGCTTGGTGAGGACACTACTAATCAGTCACAGAGCTGGCAATCCGCTCAGAGCTGCCAGCACTGAGTGTGCTGGAGGAGTCAGGGCACTGCAGCTGGTAGAAATCAAAGTTCATGATTACACAGAGGGCACAGACAGGCAGGAGCCAAACTCAGGTTACCTTCTAAGTCCATTTACTTCAGGTATTTGCCCATTAGCTTGTGTCATTTTAAAAATGAATATTATATTAATCAGCTTTCCATTGCTATGAGAAAATACCTGAAACAGTTGCTGTGGTGGTTGGAATAGGACTAGCCCCCGTCGACTCAGGTATTTGAATGCTTGGCCCACAGGGAGTGGCACTATTAGGAGGTCTGGCCTTGCTAGACTAGGTATGGCCTTGCTGGATAAGTGTATTAGGGTGGGGGTGAACTTCGAGGTCTCAGAAGCTCATGCCCAGGCTCAGTGGCTCACAGTCACTGCCTGCTGTCTGCCAACCTGGATGTAGAACTCTCAGCTCTTCCAGCATCGTGTCTGCCTGCACGCCATCATGCTTCCTGTCATGATGATAATGGACTAAACTCTGACCTGTAAGCCAGCCTTGATTAAAATGTTCTCCTTTAAAAGAATTGCTGTAGTCATGGTGTCTCTTCACAGCAATAGAAACTCTAAGACAATCATTTAAAAGAAAAAGGTTTATTTGGGCTCATGGTTTTTAAGGTGTCAGTCATAGTCTTTGGGGACTGTGACAAGGCCTATCATGTCAGGGAGAGCTGGAAAGAGTGAAAAGGAGTCCAGGGTTCCAATATCGCATTCGTAGAGCTTCTACCATCTCCCAGTGATGCCACCAGTTGCCAGTCAAATCTTAAGATAGGAGACGTTTAAGAACCAGACCAAAGAAAATACCAAAATAAGTTTTGAAAAAACATAAAACCAACTTTCTTGTTTTTTGATTCAGTTATGAGAAAATAACCTGACAAAAGCAACACAGAGGAGAAAGGGTTTATTTTAGCTCAGAATGCACAGTCCGTTGTTGCAGGAAAGTCAAGGTAGCAGGAATGTAAAGCAGCTAGTCACATGACATCCGCAGTCAAGAGTAGAAAGCAATGAGCGAATACATGGTACATGCTTCACGGTCTCCACTCTTACACCTGAGGACCCCCGCCTAGGGAGTGGTGTCACCCACAATGGCCAGGACTTTCTCGCTCTGTTAATTGATTAATAGAAGGACACCACAGACTCCTCACGGGCTAACCTGTCTAACAGTCCTCACTGAGGGGCTGGGGAGATGGCTCAGCAGTTAAGAGCACTTGCCATTTTCTCAGAGAACCAAGATTCCATCCCCAGAGCCCACATGGTGGTTGACAATCATCTGTCACTCCAGTTGCAGGAAATCCAACTCCCTCTTCTGATCTCCAAGATAACCAGACACATACATATTGCATAGACATCAATATAGGCTAAATACCCATATACATAAAATAATAAATGAAGTATAGAAAATTCCTCACTGAGACTCCCTTCCCAGATGATTACAGATTGTGTCAAGTGGGCAAAACTAGCCATCACACTATTTCAAAGTGAAATGTTTAGTGTCATTTAGTACATCTGCAGGGTGTCACAGCTGCTACCTCTCTCCAGTGCTAAAACATTTCCACAGCCTCCAAAGACATTTTCTGTTCCCCCCTTTCCATGAGCCTGGCAACCATTGATCTGCCTCTGTTTCCATGGATTTACTTAAACCAGACATTTCCTGTAAGTGAGTAGTGCGATACAGGGCTTCTTCCAAATGGCTTCCTTCACTTCACATAAAGTTGTTTCTCAGGCTCATCCACCTTATCAATGTTTCATCTTTGATGGCTGAATAATAACCCATTGTGGCTGTGTTATACCTACTGATCAGTTGATGGATAGTTGGGTTATTCCTGTCTTTGAGCTGCTGTGAACATGTGTGCCTGAGGATCTGAGAACCCATTTTCAATTTGGGAGGAAGTGAAATTTTGGAGTCACATTTTGAAGGCCACCAAACTATTTTCTACAACAGCTTACTATTTTGCATTCCCAACACTAATGTAGAAGGGGACTATCTTCCCCCCCCCCCAATAAAGGTCCACTATGTAGTACTGGCTGGCCTGGAACTCACTATGAAGACCAGGATGCTCTCAAACCCATAGAGATCTAGCACCTTGAGTGCTAGAATTAATATGGATTGTGTCCGGCTACATTTTTTCTTTGTTTTATCTTATGTGTAGTGGGATTTGGCCTGCATGTATGCCTCTGCAACATGGGTGCTCCTGTTGCTTGCAGAGGTCAGAAGAGGGAGTTGGATCCTCTGGAACTGGAATTGCCTACTGTTGTGGACCCCTGTTGTACTGCGCTGGGTCTGGATGAGCAGCCGGTGCTCTGTAACTGCTGAGCTGTCTTTGTAGTCCGTCAAATTCGTCTTTAGTCCTCGTGTAACTTATTATTTCTCATCAATGTTCTGCCATGTCTGAGTTTCTTTCTATCCTAGTAGGTGCCTGAATATCGTGTGTGTGTGTGTGTGTGTGTGTGTGTGTGTGTGTGATATGCCGTTGAGATTTATCATATCAAATGACTTTGCACTGAATGACTTTTGTACAGATGACTTTCATGATATCTAATGACTGAAATACTTTCATAACATTTGATATGGTGTCATTGGTTTCACAACCACTGAT